ATGATCCTCTACATAGAAAACCCTAAAGACTCTACCAGAAAATTACTAGAGCTAATCAACGAATATAGTAAAGTTGCAGGATATAAAATTAACACACAGAAATCCCTTGCATTCCTATACACTAACAATGAGAAAACAGAGAAATTAAGGAAACAATTCCATTCACCATTGCAACGAAAAGAATAAAATACTTAGGAATATATCTACCTAAAGAAACAAAAGACCTATATATAAAAAACTATAAATGCTGGTGAAAGAATCAAATAGATGGAGAAATACACCGTGTTCATTGATCAGAAGAATCAATATGGTGAAAATGAGTATAGTACCCAAAGCTATCTATAGATTCAAGGCAATCCCTATCAAGCTACCAACGGTACTTTTCATAGAACTAGAACAAATCATTTCACAATTTGTATGGAAATACGAAAAACCTCAAATAGTCAAAGCAATCTTGAGAAAGAAGAATGGAACTGAAGGAATCAACCTGCCTGACTTCAGGCTCTACTACAAAACTACAGTCATCAAGACAGTATGGCTAGCCTCCAATTATTTTCTTTTATTGTTTATAAAGGAATACTTTTTTTTTCATTTATTTTTATTAGTTGGAGGCTAATTACCTTACAATATTGTAGTGGGTTTTGCCATACATTGACATGAATTAGCCATGGATTTACATGTGTTCCCATCCCGATCCCCCCTCCCGCCTCCCTCTCCAACCCATCCCTCTGGGTCTTCCCAGTGCACCAGCCCTGAGCACTTGTCTTATGCATCCAACCTGGGCTGGTGATCTGTTTCACCCTTGATAGTATACTTGTTGCAATGCTATTCTTTCAGAATATCCTACCCTTGCCTTCTCCCAGAGTCCCAAAGTCTGTTCTGTATATCTGTGTCTCTTTTTCTGTTTTGCATATAGGGTTATTGTTACCATCTTTTTAAATTCCATATATATGCATTAGTATACTGTATTGGTTTTTATCTTTCTGGCTTATTTCACTCTGTATAATGGGCTCCAGTTTCATCCATCTCATTAGAACTGATTCAAATGCATTCTTTTTAATGTTAGCCTCCAATTAAAATAAGTAAATTTATATTTAGGAAAAAAAACAAGCATCCAGCCCTCATGGACCACTTTGGTGTGAGTAGCTCTGAACGTCCCCCAAATTACTCAAGCATGAGTTATTTCAGGGTTTACTCAAAGTGAAATTAATCTCCAGTCTTTTAACTGCTCATGTAGAAATGCTTCTACATGATTAAAATTATCCTTACATTTAGCCTTTGTCTAATTCTTCTGGGAAAACCAAAATTCAGTTGAGTTGTAAAAAAGAAATATAACACAGAAGAAAGCAGTGGTACATATACACAATGGAATATTACTCAGCCATTAAAAAGAAAACATTTGAATCAGTTCTAACGAGGTGGCTGAAACTGGAGCCTATTATACAGAGTGAAGTCAGCCAGAAAGAAAAACACCAGTACAGTATACTAACACATATATATGGAATTTAGAAAGATGGTAACAATAACCGTATATGTGAGATAGAAAAGAGACACAGATATATAGAACAGTCTTTTGGATTGTGTGGGAGAGTGTGAGGGTGGGATGTTGATAAAATGGCATTGAAACATGTATATTATTATATGTGAAATGAATTGCCAGTCCAGATTTGATGCATGAGACAGGGTGCTCAGGGTTGGTGCACTGGGATGACCCAGAGGGATGGGATGGGGAAGAAAGTGGGAGGGGGGTTCAGGATGGGGAACACATGTACATCTGTGGCAGATTCATGTCGATGTGTGGCAAAACCACTACAATATTGTAAAGTAATTTGCCTTCAATTAAAATAAATAAATATTTAAAAAAAATAAAAAAGTATCCAAGCTTCCTGGACCACTTTGATGTGAGTAGCTCTGAATGTCCCCCAAATTACTCAAGCATGAGTTATTTCAGGGTTTACTCTAAGTGAAATTAATCTCCAGTCTTTAAACTGCTCATGTAGAAATGCTTCTAAATGTTTAAAATTATCCTTACATTTAGCCTTTGTCTAATTCTTCTGGGAAAACTAAAATTTAATTGAGTTGTAAAAAAGAAATATAACACAGGTATTGATTCAATATGGAAAAGGCCTTTTATCCTTCCAAAACAATTTAAAAAATCAAAGTGGCTTGAGGACAGTTTAGCATTTTGTAGAAACTGGTAACACTCTCAAACAATTCTATTATATTTGCAAACTCTATTTTCTAAAACAGAAAGCCTCTTTTGCTACTCCCTCCCTCTCTTTTTTTCTTATATTTATTTCTGCCCTGCCTCATTCTAGAAACCAGAGCCTACCAGTTGTCAACATAAGCACCTAGAACTGTGGCACTGATGTAGCAAAAATATCATAAATTATATGGCTATTGATTTTCTTCTCCTGGTGTCTTCATGGTCTACTCAATACCATCACTTCTTCAAACTGCTCAAATACCATCCTCCTCCCAAAGAAAGCATTTAATGCCTTGTATTTCAGAACCCTGAGAAACCAAATTTGTCTATAATGGCAAAATCACACTCATCTCCATTTTTCTATTGTGTAAATAAAAATCTGTACACACCATGATTTGAAACCTTGGGGATGCTGAGCAATATCACATTTGGAGTCAGTTGATTTAACAAAAAAAAAAAGGACAATCATGAAATGCTTGCACGTTCAGTCCTTTAAGTCCCAGGCTAGATGTCCTGATTCTAAGTTGAGTTCAGGTATTCTTGACAGCCTTGGTAACTGAGGTAGAACTGTTTCTTTTCTATCTTCCCAATGAGAATTCTTGATGGAAAACAGGATTCATGAGGTCTAAAGAGAATGTACAATTCTAAGAAGTATGTTTCATGCTTTGAAGGGACCTCTGCAATGATCAAAAAGTTGGAGCCAATTTAGTATAAAAAATTAGGACTCTGTGACAGAGGCTGACTTTACACAGTTGAGCTAGCATCACTCTACCCAGTGTCCCTGACTCATAGGAATGCCATGGGAGACTGACTGAAAAATTGTGCAGCTGATTGAAAGGACTCTGGCACGGTATCTGGTCACTGTCTTCTACAGTCAAGGGCATAACACCCTAGAATCTTGATCCAGAACTTAGTGATAGTCATCAACAATGCAGACATTGTCTTCTGCTTGGATAGGCTTCAGAGCTGCATTTTTCAGAGCGCCAATGCAAGAATCTTTCAATGGAATCACACTGCAAAAGAAAAACATGAGTAAGAGAAAAGATCACTTCTCAAGTATGAGCAGCCTATTTGTTGATGTTCATTCAAGCCTGGGTATTTGCATTTCTCAGAGACCTATTCAAACATGCTATGAAATGAATAGAAGCTTCCAGAATTGTGAATATGAAGTTACAGGAAATGATTTTTTATAAGGAGGTAGAAAGTCACATCTTTTGGTTTCAAAAAACTCACACTGGTCTCTTTCAAGACACTCGTGCAATAGAACACAAAAATTTATCATCTAAGAAGACAAATACCACACATCAAATTGAAGTACTAAACCAGGATGCACAGTCTCAAAGATGGGCAGGAAATGGTTTGGCTGGTGTTTTTCTAGCTGAGAACTGTGACCCTTTAGCGAATGTTATTTAGTGGTATGTATCCTGTATTTGAATCATTAGAAATGACCCTGATGCTGGGAGGGATTGGGGCAGGAGGAGAAGGGGACAACAGAGGATGAGATGGTTGGATGGCATCACTGACTCGATAGACGTGGGTTTGAGTAAACTCTGGGAGTTGGTGATGGACAGGGACGCCTGGCGTGCTGCAATGAATGGGGTCGCAAAGAGTTGGACACGACTGAGCAACTGAACTGAACTAAACTGAACTGATCCTGTATTTAAGACAAAAATATATAAGTCTACAAAATATCAGAGCATATCAGATGTAGTAAAATAGTATTGCTTCACCTAAGTCCGATACTGTAAAGAGCAATATTGCATAGGAACCTGGAATGTTAGGGCCATGAATCAAGGCAAATTGGAAGTGGTCAAACAGGAGATGGCAAGAGTGAACGTCAACATTCTAGGAATCAGCGAACTAAAATGGACTGGAATGAGTGAATTTAACTCAGATCACCATTATATCTACTACTGTAAGCAGGAATCCCTTAGAAGAAATGGAGTAGCCATCATGGTCAACAGAAGAGTCCAAAATGCAGTACTTGAATGCAATCTCAAAAATGACAGAATGATCTCTGTTTCCAAGGCAAACCATTCAATATCACAGTAATCCAAGCCTATGCCCCAACCAGTAACACTGAATAAGCTGAAGTTGAACGGTTCTATGAAGACCTACAAGACCTTTTACAACTAACATCCAAAATAGATGTCCTTTTCATTATAGGGGACTGGAATGCAAAAGTAGGAAGTCAAGAAACACTTGGAGTAACAGGCAAATTTGGCCTTGGGAGTACGGAATGAAGCAGGGCAAAGGCTAATAGAGTTTTGCCAAGAGAACACACTGGTTATAGCAAACACCCTCTTCAATAACAAGGAGAGATAAGAAAGCCTTCCTCAGTGATGAAGGCAAAGAAATAGAGGAAAACAACAGAATGGGAAAGACTAGAGATCTCATCAAGAAAATTAGAGATACCAAGGGAACATTTCATGCAAAGATGGGTTCAATAAAGGACAGAAATGATATGGACCTGAGACAAGCAGAAGATATTAAGAAGAGGTGGCAAGAATACACAGAAGAACTATACAAAAATATCCTCACGACCCTGATAATCATGATGGTGTGATCCCTCACCTAGAGCCAGACATCCTGGAATGTGAAGTCAGGTGGGCCTTAGAATAATATAACTACGAACAAAGCCAGTGGAGGTGATGGAATTCCAGTTGAGCTCTTTCAAATCCTGGAAGATGATGCTGTGAAAGTGCTGCACTCAATGTGCCAGTAAATTTGGAAAACTCAGCAGTGGCCACAGGGCTGGAAAAGGTCAGTTTTCATTTCAATCCCAAAGAAAGACAATTCCAAGGAATGCTCAAACTACTGCACAATTGCAGTCATCTCAGACACTAGTAAAGTAATGCTCAAAATTCTCCAAGCCAAGCTTCAGCGATATGTGAACCATGAACTTCCAGAAGTTCAAGCTCGTTTTCGAAAAGGCAGAGGAAACAGAGATCAAATTGCCAATATCCACTGGATCATCGAAAAAGCAAGAGTTCCAAAAAAACATCTATTTCTACTTCATTGACTATGCAAAAGTCTTTGACTGTGTGGATCACAATAAACTGTGGAAAATTCTGAAAGAGATGGGAATACCAGACCACCTGACCTGCCTCTTGAGAAATCTGTATGCAGGTCAGGAAGCAACAGTTAGAACTGGACATGGAACAACAGACTGGTTCCAAATAGGATGTGGAGTACGTCAAGGCTGTATATTGTCACCCTGCTTATTTAATTTATATGCAGAGTACATCATGAGAAACACTGGGCTGGAAGAAGCACAGGCTGGAATAAAGATTGCCAGGAGGAATATCAATAACCTCAGATATGCAGATGACACCACCCTTATGGCAGAAAGTGAAGAGGAACTAAAAAGCATCTTGATAAAAGTGAAAGAGGAGAGTGAAAAAGTTGGTTTAAAGCTCAACATTTGGAAAACTAAGATCATGGCACCTGGTCCCATCACTTCATAGGAAATAGATGGGGAAACAGTGGAATAGTGTCAGACTTTATTTTTTTGGGTTCCAAAATCACTGCAGATGGTGATTGCAGTCATGAAATTAAAAGATGCTTACTCCTTGGAAGGAAAGTTATGACCAACCTAGATAGCATATTAAAAAGCAGAGACAGTACTTTGCCAACAAAGGTCCATCTAGTCAAGGCTATGGTTTCTCCAGTGGTCCAGCACTGAATGAAATCACATAACAAACTAATCAAGCCATTTAAATGATCCCTGAAACAATATGTGCAATTTAGTTCTCTTGTGCTAAGAGATAACGTTTGAGGTGTTATTTCTGTAGCAGTTATGACACAATTCCAGGGATATATAGAGATGCTTGGAGAAGGAACTGGCAACCCACTCCAGTATTCTTGTATGGAGAATCCCAGGGACAGAGAAGCCTAGTGGGCTGCAGTCTATGGGGTTGCACAGAGTCGGACACAACTGAAGTGACTTAGCAGCAGCAGCAGCATAGAGATGCTAAAATCATCACTAGAAGGTTGAACAGCAATGGAGGTGCTCTGTATACTATATTTTTCAGGATCCAGAGTATAAAATGGAGGACTCGGAAGGAAAAGAGGAGAGGGACAGAGAAATTTTCCTTAGGTTTACTAGGGTAAGAACATCAAAAGGCATTACTAACACAAACCATTTCAAACTTACCGTAGTAGCTCCGCCTTGTTACCCAGGTAAAAATATCCTAAATTGAGGGGAAAATGAAGAGAAAATTAAACATGCAAGCCAAAGAGTACATGAAAAATTTTTTCCAAACTAGTACATTATTACGATTATTACTTTAATATGAGCAAAATCAGTACAGCTCTCAGAATCTAAAAAAAAAAATTAATTTAGAAGAAAGAATATTTTTGAAAAGAAGGAGAAAAAAAATCAATCTGGACCCTAACCTGATAACTCCAGGTAACCTCTCTTGAATCTCTAGGAGCCAAGTAAGCCCCTTGGTGTAAAGTATCTTGTGATTCATAGGTTTAGTGTATTGACCTACATGCCCTAGCTTACATTAATGCCATTATATTTCACTGAAAAAATCCTGAATATTGCGCTTCTCCCATAGATGACAGGTTTTACACACACATACACACACAACTGGTGGAAGGAGACCAGGAGGTGTTAGATGACTGTCATGTGAAACCCTTTGTACTTTTCCTAGCTCTGAAATCATGTACACTCCTAAGGTCTCTTGTGCTTCTTCTATTAAGTGGGTGTTATAAAACTATCAACAGTTTTACCCCCGATAGGGATGAAAATTTGTTATTGAGGGAATGGGAAAAGAACAAAATGGGAGGGAAAAATCTTGTATATTACAGTGGCTTTTGACTTCCAAATCTCAACTTTACACTGCTGCTGCTGCTGCTGCTAAGTCGCTTCAGTTGTGTCTGATTTTGTGCGACCCCATGGACGGCTGCCCACCAGGCTCCCCCGTCCCTGGGATTCTCCAGGCAAGAACACTGGAGTGGGTTACCATTTCCTTCTCCAAAGCATGAAAGTGAAAAGTGAAAGTGAAGTCGCTTAGCCATGTCTGACTCTTCAGGACCTCGTGGACTGCAGCCTACCAGGCTCCTCCGTCCATGGGATTTTCCAGGCAAGAGTATTGGAGTGGGGTGCCATCGCCTACTCCAACTTTACACAACCAGTGCTTATTTCTCCATATTTAATTTCTCCTATGGGGAATTTAAATATCATGTTTATGGAACAATAAATTTAAGATAAATAAAAAATAAGGGAAGAATAAGGTAAGAACCAAGGAAGTTACGTGAAACTGATATTATACAGAATGTACAGCTACATGCATTTGGCTCAAGAATACTCCTATGGGCTCAAGAATATTCCTAAATATTTCAGTCCTGAGGTGACTTACTTCTCCTAATCCAGAAAACCACAAACATGAGCAGCAATGCCAAAATAGTAACAGAGATTCCAATGTAGACTCCCTTGTTGGTGCTCATCCATGTTTCTTGTGCCAGTGCCACAAGCTACAGAAACATCAGCAGATCAAACACAAAACAGAAAAATAAAACCATCTTGTTAGAGTTATAGGCAGAAAACATCTCAGAAAATAATATACCCAGACACATTATTGTTTATTGGCCCCTGGCTAGTTCTGGATCATGAGGGATAAGACCAAATGATGTAAAGTTATAGCCTTATGATGAAATTCTAAGACAACTCAAAATTCAAACTGTATTTGGGGGTGGTGGAAATGTTTACATCTTACTAGCGGCAGTATTTAGAGAAGGGTACAGATTTGTTAAAACTCAAACCGTATGCTTCAAATGAGTGTGCTTTATTATTATAGTTTATACATATTGTAAAAATAATAAGCTCTTTTCATAAATAATCCTCTTATGATACTAATAAAAAACAATTTTGGTTCCTGTACAAGTTACCATGGTGGTGCTATCTGAATGTGTTCAGTTCCTGAAACTGGCCTTTAATTAAAACACTTTTTTGAACTAGAATTCAAGATTCTGTGTCTTTGTAAATGGGCATGAAAGTAGCTGCTCAGATTCATGGCTCTGCTTAACAATTAAATGCTGTGCAATTGGGAAAAAAATTCCTAGTGTGAGGGATCATCACGTCCTACAGTAAACCCAAAACATACCAGGCCATCATGCTTGCCTCCATTACATAGCTTAATTCTAATTCTAAAGATGTCCCACCAGGCAGGTATTTTAACAGAAAGGAAGTGGAAAATCAGAGAAAAAGATTAAGTCTCAAGTCTCCTCCTGCATAAGAGTTTAATCTCTGGAGTCAGAATCCCAGATTAACTTTTATTTAGTTGCTCTGTGACCCTAGCAAGTTATTTAGCCTCTCCAAACCTCTTTTTCTGTCAAATGCAGATTAAATAGGGTTTTGGGGAAAGGTACCTCAGGTACCTTGTGATAAACACTGTGAGGAATACAGAGGAGGGTGGCCTAGCCTCTGAGCTGTCCTTGCCTAAACGGAAAACAGGCAGCACCTTGGGAGGGAAAAGCTGTGTTACCACCGTACTTGAGGGAGGTAGGGCAGTTAGATGGAACACGGAGTTACGGGAAGCAGTCTGTGCTTGCTTTTTAAAAAATATTATGTTACATAAAAACTGGAAGCTCATTTCAGAGCGTGCAGCTCAGGAGTAAGAAAGGAAAACAAAAATCAACCATAATTTCAACATCTAGAAATAATTACTATTACCATTTTTCATTACATACCCTTCTAGAATTTTATCTTTCTAGTACTTTTCTTAACAGAAAGTTACCCTATCCAATGTATACTACACTATATACATCATTTTATTTCATATCTATAAACCATATAATATATATATATGTGTTTTGTTTTTTTTTTTTTTCAGTTTTGGCAATGCTACATGGCATGTGGGATCTTAGTTCCCTGATCAGCCATCGAACCTGTACTTACTTCATTGAAGGTATGGACTCTTAATCACTGGACTGTCAGGGAAGTCCCAATGTTATTTGAAAACTTAGTTTTTTCATTTAACAATTGACACTATCTTCTCATGGCAGTAAGCACACTGCAGTGACAACATTGCTAATGGCAATAAATGGGCATGCTTAATTGATAAGCAATTAATCTCCTATTATGGAATGTTTAGGTTGTTTGTCACATTTTCATGATTATAAACAGCAGCAATGTATATCTTGTCTCATACATCTTTATGTATATGTTCATTCTCTCCTTAAGATGCAGATCAAGAAGTTGACCTATTGGGTGGTCTATATGCTGCCTGGTTTTAAGATACCTGGGAGACACCTTGATATCTTCACAGTCAAGACACAAAAAGCCCACGATTGGGCTACCACCTATTGTGAACCTGCTTCTATATTGCTTATATTATAAAGAAGAGATTAACTGCTACTAAATATACCTGTCCTGCAGGTAACTGAGGTCAAAAACAATCTTATCATTCAGAGTGTTTGTTTCTTTTTTTTAAACTAGCATAAGTCTGACTGACAGGACATTTACATGGTGGCAGTTCTGCTATTTAGCAAGCACAAACAAATTCAGCCCATATCCATCAGAGCAATCAGTACCCATATCATCAGAGTGATTAAAATCTTTCATATCATTCCTACGTGGTAGTGTTCTCATTGTCACCAAGTTATGCAATATAAGGCCATTTGACGTCACATTAACCCCACTTTGCCTGAACTTGAATTTCTCTTACAATGTCCATGCTGCGACTTCTCACCGCTTGCAATCAAGATTACTCTCATACCTGAATCTGTTCATGTTTTTTGCTTCTAGGAGTTATTTGCACAAAGTAAAAGGAAAGTTGTTTCACCCAAGGGAACCAAAAGTAAAAATCTCACTGATAAGTTCTTCTAACTTATGCACAAAGATGAGATTTGATGAACATCATGAGACTATAGTTCCTTGGATTTTTCCCAAGCTAATTGTGGGAAAGGTTCGAGAGCAAATTACAGAATTACAAAGTTGTTGAAGACCTTAGGACCTTAACATGTCATCATATGGGGAGGATATATATATAGAAAGACCCAACAGTGGCCTCAAATTTTCTCTATAGGAGGAAAATTGGGTTGGAAAAGGATATAAGGGGGGCTATGTTTAAGGAATCACACTTTCATTGACATAATATTTTTAGTGGGGATGGCCCCCATTCCACTATATCAATTCAAGGCATGTTATTTCTCTAACAATGATCTACATCTTTCTTGGTATGTAATGTTAATTCACTATGCCTGAAATAATTCTGCCGGGAGCCATTATGGGAGATCCCACCCATGACGAGGTCATGAAGAAAATACCTGACACGCAAGGCCGTTCAGGATCGAGGTCATGGGGAAAAAACCTGACACACAAGGCCATTCAGGATACAAGGGACCCTCCAGGTTGGCCTCGGCCTCTACCCCACCCTGTATCCTCCTCCCTTTTCTGTTGTTGTTCTTATTTGCCCTGCTACAGATTCTTGTGTTGCCTGCCGAGAGCTCTCCTGCTCCTCTTTCATTGAATAAAAACCAACTTAAAACCCTAATTAATAAATCTCCTAGATGCTGGTACCCTATGAAGGGGCCAGGGATGAAAGAAATGCTTCAATTCAAACCCTTTGGCTGGCATTCTGGCTTTTTTGATAAATGTGTGCTTCCCATTGCAAGAGATAGCTGGTGACTTCTTGCAGGTAGTTAACTTTTAGACTAAGAGCCTGTTTTGTGCTATATCTTCTGTTTTTGCAATCCTTTGCATTTCTGTTCCATAATAATGTAACCCTATCTGGTTCCCATAGAGATGACCCCTAATAGAAAGAAAATAGATTAACCACAAATAAGACAGGGTCGGCTACTGAAGTTGCTTAAAGTTACACCAGGTGCAAGCCATAAATTGTCAACAGGCCTGAAGGCCAAAAGATATTATACATAGAGATTAACCATAAAAAAGGCCCTAATAGGCACAGAGCCCTTCGGGGGGTGAGGAAGCCCTATTAGAGAACCCAAAAAATATTATTTTAAAAGTGGTTATTGGATCAATGTTTGATTGCTGTTAATGTGCTGAGGTTGTGCAGTGGAAACTATTGTTAATATAGTTAAAGATCTAGAAAAATAAGAGTTTAGCCCTAGCGTAAAAACAATAAGATAATTGTTAATTTTAACCAGGAGTGCTAAACAGGGGCTGCCTCAGAGTCTTTGTGTGTTAAACTTTTTAGATAAATTTAGCTGAGAACTTCTGCAAAAAGACTGATCTTTGTGTTAACAGGATTGTATTTCTACTAAGATACAAACTGCTGTACCATGAGATAGCCACTTTTCTGTTTTCTGCTAAGCTCAAGGCCAAAAGATAATGTACAAAAAAATCTATGGAAAAGACTCTCATAAACAAAAAAGTATGCAGAGAACACCTGGCTTCATGAAGGACAAGCTGATGTGATGTTAAACTAAGTCTGTGTGCTTATCTTCCCCTTAGAAATGTGCTAACTTAGGGTATAAAAGCTACGGTGAAAAATAAAGCACGGGCCAGACTCTGCTGCACACCCCGGCCTGGTCTCTCTCACTCTCTCTCTCACTTGCTGATGCCATTCATCCTGAGGGTTCCCCTGGATCCTGCTGGGGCAAGGACCCCGGCATAATTCACTCTTCTTTTCTTATTTTCTGGTCAGCAGAAAATCTGTCCTGGGTGTATATGTGTATCTAGAGTAAAATATCACTTTTCAGGTCTTTCTAACAAAGTAGTACACCTATATAGACTTTTAAAATTAATTAAAGTATCCCTATTTAAGAATCAGATTCTTTTCTTCCTTTATTTTCTAAATTAGAAACCATCAATATGTGGACTAGTCTGACAATAATAATCTCTAAATGTAACTTGATTCCAAAAGAGACATATCAGTGAATCAGGCTAATAAAATAGGAAGGAATATGCTTACAGTTTGATTGTTATGCCAGTGGGGATCTGGAGTCTGTGCCACAGTGCCATTTCCATCTGCTCAACATGAAAGAAAATTAATAAGAATTACAAAACTTTCCTGCCAACACCAAATATATTCACACTGCCTTTTGGTAATGAAGGGAAAGTTGAATAATCATATGGCCTAATGCTGTAGGCATCCCAAGTTAATATCAAGTTACTAACATTTATTAATTTAAGCAGTAAGGTGGTGCTTCTTAACCATTTTGTCATGGACCCCTTGAAAATGAACCCTTTTTTTCTCCCTATGGAAAAAAAAAAACTGCATGCTCACAGAAAATTTACTGACAATTTTAGACAAGTCAGAGTGACCCATTCTCAGAACTAGGTTAAAAATTACCAATTACAGATAAATAATCAATATTTTCATGGCAGCTCAGAAACTTCCAATGAGTGCTCAGAGGTCATTACACATCCAAAGAGCAGAACCACTCTGTTCAAAATTAACATTACATTGGTTTTACACTCAAAATGTGAGTGAAATGCACTAAGATACCTCAAACAGGTGGCATCCGACTCCTACATTATATGCCTGTGTGCCCAGACACTGATCCAAATGTGCTTTAGAAAATATGTTACATCACTGCCAAGGCCAGTATACTTTATACTACCTAAAATCCCAATATAAAAGAATATTATGCCTTAAAGTTTTGAATGTCCAAACTTTAATAGTGTTTTGAAATATCTCTTTAGTCACACAGAACATATACTGTTGGCCCTTCTAAGCAACTATAGGTCAAATACAGGATTCTCACTTTACCGAGTATCTATTATATACAAGCACTTTACTACCTTATACGAATTTTCTTAATCCAAAATTTTAGATGACGTGCTGAAATGGTTGAAGTTTCCAACTATACTAAAGGACAAGAGCCTCAGGTCATAACCACTGCACACATTATGTTCCCATTTAATGAAAATACTGCAGGTCTCAGAGATTCCCATACTACTGACAGAGCTATAAAACCATCATTTTCTAATGGTAGTGAAATCATGAACTAAACATATCCCAGTAAGTTCTCAAACTTTACATTACTGTATCTACAATTTAAACATTCCAACACTACCTCTTCAAGAGATAAAGACAGTATCTACAGTCTAGTCTCTGTGTATGATTTATGTTATAACCTTAAATCCTTAAGCTATAGAATGAGTGATGTAAAAAAATAGCAAGGACTTGAGTCAGATAAAACTTGACTTCAGTGCTGACAAGTCACTTACCAATGTGACCTTGATCAATGTCCTTTACATACACATTATATATATATATGCATGTAAGTTTTGTATTTATATTTCTAGCTGGAGTAACCTTGAACTACAAGCTGTTGCTAGCACCCGTCTCATAAAGTTGTCACATTAGATGATGCATGTAAGGTGCTTAACACCATATTAAACAAATATCAGGTATCACAATTATGTTGCAAATATAACATTAGAAGCAATGGGGAAGGGACACCATGCAATGGATTTTCCAAATATCATGTCCTTCATTCCTTACAAACATGTAGTGAGCAATGAAACCACTTGCCCATGGGTGTGCAGCTTGAAAGTGCCATGGGCGGATAGTTGAATTGGAAGCTGTCTGTCTCCGAAGTAAAACTAAATATCCTCCTCAGTCTGGCAATGGCAAGAAATAAACCTGCTCTGAAATAATTAAATGAGATAATGTACAACACTTTCTTGGCACAAGCATCTGAAAAGGTAGGTGCAGGCCATATGAAACCAAAATTCTTTCTGGACTAACATCCTTTGCTTTGTGAGGCTTTAACCCACTGAAGTGTGACTCAGGCACTGTGAGGATTTGGCTGAAGGGCCTCAGAGATGCTGCCAGGACAGCAGCAGTCACAGAAGTCATGGGGACACAGCTGCTCCAATGTCTGTTTCGTGCTGGCAAGTCTACCTTGACCAGGTTTTAGTGACATATTTTAGAGAACAATTTTCCGTTTCCTACTTTGTTCTTCCTCGTAGCCTAAAAGTGTGGGGTGCAATTGTTCCAACTGCTATTACATGTATTTTTATCTGCTTTCTCTTTGTTTTTGGGCCCAGAAACAGTTCACACCAAGGATTCCACTTTCAAAACTAAATGTCACTATTAGCTAATTCCAATTAAATTGGTCCTTCTCTGAGTCCCGCTGCATGTCCATTTTCAATTAAGAGCTTCCTTAACTGATTGGCAAAGTAGGCCACCCTGGGTGTCTGCTACAGATTAGTACCTCCTGAGCATGATGAATCATACACACAAGTCTTACAAAATCTGACCATGTTTGGATGCTTCACAGGCACATGGACAAATAAGCCAGTTATGCATTACAAAGGGGTTCACATGTGGTGCTCTCCAAATTTACCACCATGGGTAACAGAGTTAGCTGGGAAAGATGACAATTCAATATCATCTTTCTCCATTATAGGAAAAACAGACTAATCTTACATCTCAAAAGAATATGGACTTTCCAAAACAAGGGAGAACTGGGAGACTTTTGGAGTGGAATAGCACAATCTTAGTGGGACCTGCCTCTTTGGTTCTGGTGTCCATGTCTTCAACCCAACTCAAAGTGTCCATGTGAAATGAACACTCAACAAGGCAGCAGGGGAGCCTCCTGGCTCGGTGTAGTTTCTGGGGCTTAGAGGAAGCATAAACAGGTGACCAGTATGGTCTAGACCAGTTTGGATTTAATTGTTTTAAGGCTCTGTCCAGGGAAGTACACCTAGGAATAAGTTTAAAGGCAAGGTTGATTCATTTTATTTAGGAAAATGTGGATATGCATGTGGATGGTCCCAAATCATACAAGCTGTCTATGTCACTCAAATGTACATATTTCTGGACATTCTAAGTAACAGTCATAATGGCCACTCTATCACTTACCTTGTAACTGTGTCCCAAGATCTTTATCTCAAATAATGCTTGTAAGAATAAGTGATATTCCATCCATTTTCCACAGGATAAAAACAGATTCAAAGAGGGTAATAAGACATTTGTTCAAGTTGCATAGCTGAGTGGAATAGCCATTGTTGGCATTCAAGTCATGCTTCTCTTATTTCTGAATATGTGCTCTTAACAATGTGCTAACATTTATCAAAATTTGAAAGCTCCCAGGTGTTCAGGAAAGAAACTGAAGTTACCTGTTGAACAAGAGTGCCATGGTGAGCTGGTTATGTTTGTTTCATACAGGGTAGTAGGCTGGGTTTCTGCTATCTCAGTTGGAGAAGATAAAGAAGCTATAGGAATGACAAGAACAGAAAAATAGTGTTCAATTAGTGGAGGAAAATTTACACCCCCAGCAGAAATAACAAACAAAACTAAATCAGAAATTACCCTTGACTCTTTCTTAGAAATATGTTAATAGATGTCCTTGAGGTATTACCCTGCTATGTAGGCATTTCATTATCATGAATAAATCTGATCTAGATAATGATCTGAGAGCTTAACAGAATTATTTCACTTTTTATATTTCTTTTGTTGTTCAGTTGCTAAGTCATGTCTGACTCTTTGCAACCCAATGACTGAAGCATGCCATGCTTCCCTGTCCTTCTCTGTCTCCTGGAGGTTGCTCAAACTCATGTCCATTGAGTCAGCAATACTGTCTAACCATCTCATTTTCTGCCACCCTCTTCTCCTTTTGCCTTCAAACTTTCCCAGCATCAGGGTCTTTTCCAATGAGTCAACTGTTCGCATAAGGTGGCCGAAGTATTGGAGCTTCAGCTTTAGCATCAGTCCTGGGGTTGTCATAAGAATTAAGGGGCTTAATACTTATAAAGCAGTTAGCATGTTTCCTGACATTGGAAACAGAATAAGCATTAACTTCACTGAAATCTTATCCTCAAGTGTTGGGTTAGGCTTCAAAACAGATTAAATGGTCTCTATTCAGAGCTCCTTATAAGACAGAATCTCATTCACTTGGCCCTGTTCTGGCACCCTTATTTTCTCCTCATAATTCTATGTTAAACTGGGCTGAATGCACCATACTTCTTAGATGTCCATGACCAGTGGTCTGGCTTTTTTTTTTTTTTAACTATTAATGATTCCTTTGAGAATCTAATAAAAACCATAGATCCCTCTCACTCCGAAAATGCTTAAAGATACAAAAGATGAATATGAGAGGGTACAAGTGGTTCACAGATTCTGTGAAGCCAGGTTTGGAAACCTGTTAAGAATCCCTAACCTAGATTGTACATCTGCCTCAACACAGGGCCCTGAGTGGTGTATATCTTCTACTTTAAAAACTTCTGCACTTAGAAGTACTTTTGCTTACCTGGCTGGAGGTCCCTTGTGGGTGCTGGCATTGGAAGAGCAGACATAGAGGGCCTCACTGTCACTGGAGCAGTGGTGACCATCATGGTTGGAGTTGTGGTGGTGATTGTTGTTGGCACAACAAGGGTGGTGGTTGTTGGAGCATTGGTGACCACTGTGGTTGGAGTAGTGGTATTGGTGGTTGTTGGAGTTGTGTTGGTTGTTGTTTTGGGGGTAGTAGTGGTGGTTGATAGAATAGTGGTAGTCGTTCTTGTAGTAATAGTAATGGTTGTCTTTCTTGTAGTGGTGGTTGGTCTTGGAGTAGTGGTTGTGGTGGTGGTGCTTGTTGGAGTCCTGGTGGTTGTTGCTTTGGGGGTAGTAGTGGTGGTTCTTCGAATAGATTTTCGAATAGTTGTTCTTCTTGGGGTCGTAGTGGTTGTTCTCCGAATAGATTTTCGAATAGTTGTTCTTCTTGGGGTTGTAGTAGTGTTTCTCCAAATAGATTTTCGAATAGTTGTTCTTCTTGGGGTCATAGTGGTGGTTCTCCGAATAGATTTTCGAATAGTTGTTCTTCTTGGGGTCGTAGTGGTGGTTCTTCGAATAGATTTTCGAATAGTTGTTCTTCTTGGGGTCGTAGTGGTGGTTCTCCGAATAGATTTTCGAATAGTTGTTCTTCTTGGGGTTGTAGTGGTGGTTCTTCGAACAGATTTTCGGATAGTTGTTCTTCTTGGGGTAGTAGTTTTTTGAGTAGTTCTTTGAATAGTTTTTCGATTAGTTGTTCTTCTTGGGGTAGTAGTGATGGGTCTTCGAATAGTGGTAGTCGTTCTTGGAGTAGTAGTAACGGTTGTCTTTCTTGGAGTGGTGGTTGTTCTTGGAGTAGTGGTGGTGGTGGTAGTGGTTCTTGGGGTAGTGGTGGTGGTTGTTCTTGTAGTAGTAGTGGTGGTGGTCGTTGTTGTAGGTGGAGCTAGAAATCAACATGAAAGCAGGGATTCATCAAGCAGCAGGAAACAAGAGACTCGTGCTGGGCCTGTGTACCAACACAACCAAGGAGATTGTCCCCAGGCAGAACTCAGCACTTATCTCCTATGAACTCCAAGTTCTTGTCATTGGTCAACTAGAACCTGTCACTGAGGAGGGAGTGAAGACATGGTCACAACAAGGCAACAGCTGCATTTAAAGGATGATATTTCGGGAGGTGTTGAAATAAAAAAATGACACATGGGATTTGTGTTGAAGCACTTCGTAAGACTAGTCATACATATCAGATTTACATATCTTCATAAACATCTGTGAGGGAGGGACAAATATCTAGAGCCTGAAGCTGTCTTTGTCCTCTCAGCAGTACATGACTGGAACACAAATGGTAGTTCCCAAGAACCAGAATATTGACCAAATAAATAGCACTAACTTCTGTCAGTTCTATGGGTACCCTCCCAACATATCTTCATCCTAAATGTGGATTAATTCACATCATTATATACGATGGATAACACAGATGCCATATGTCACCTGGGAAGCCCTGAAAATATAGATAGTATATACATGAATGGATGGGGCTGTGTTCTAATAAAACTTTATTTATTAAAAATACATATATAAACTTAGAAGCTTTTGCACAACAAAGGAAACTAAAGGGAAGGTGAAAAGACAGCCTTCTGAATGGGAGAAAATAATAGCAAATGAAGAAACAGACAAAGGATCAATCTCAAAAATATATAAGCAACTCCTGCAGCTCAATTCCAGAAAAATAAAATGGAAAAACCCAGAGGGATGGGATGGAGAGGGAGGCGGGAGGAGGGATCGGGATGGGGAACACATATAAATCCATGGCTGATTCATGTCAATGTATGGCAAAAACCACTACAATACTGTAAAGTAATTAGCCCCCAACTAATAAAAATATATGAAAAAAATTTAAAAAAATTTTAAAAAGCTAAGACTGAAGAAACTACAAGGAAAAAAAATAATAACTGTTGGTGAGCTTATTTTATAATCTGACCTGGTCCTATGGCTACTGTTTGCTGACCTGGGTCTAATAGTGTAGTTAAAGATTTTGAAGAACAGTGCAGTCTCAATCCTCTTCATTCACTTTGAAATGAAACCTAAAAAAAAAAAAGAGGAAGCAAGAAAAAAACCTGATCAAAGGAGTATAACAAGGAGGAAATTTAATCAGCTTGTTTCACTAATGTGCCTTGCTCAGGAGTAAATATTCCCTAAGGAAGAAGCTAGGAAGCTAAGGCTAGGAAAAGCTGCTGAGGAAGAGACCTCGGAGAGGTTGAAAGTAAGCTTTTTCTGTGAAAAGTGCAAGAAAACCTAAGTAAAGTATTGGGTTACAGGCAGAGAGTCACTTTGGCTCAGTTATGAACCCATTTCCCACTGGACAGAGCAGTGACTTTGCAAATATTCATCTGTTAAAGAATTTATAAGCACTATAAATGTCCCCTATTAATTTCTTTCATTATCACTTAAAAAAAGTATTCCTCCAGAACAATCATATAATTTCACAACTCCAAAAATAATCTCTTCTCCACACACAGCCTCCTGCCACATGTGTATAGCACCAGCATCTTTCAGCTTTCTTAAATTGCCTCCAAGATGTTTCCCCAGAGTCAGCTATTTTCTGCATCAGAATTGACCTTCTTTTACTTGCCTTCATCAAATAACCTAAGTGTCCTTGATGAAGATAGGAAAAACTATGAAATTGAAATATCAACTTCATTCAAATTAAAAACGAGACCTAGCTTATAAAGGCTCTGAGTATTGGGTTCTGTTTTCATTAGAAACTTTAGTAGGAGAATACTTACTATCAAAGAGCACCAGGAACCAGGAAATACTTTAGAATCTTCTCCTTTCACCAAGTGGTAAGAAAAATTAAAATGTCTACATCAAGACAGAAAAACATAAACTTCCAAGACTTTTGCATTTCACAAAATTCTTAAAAGCCAAAAGTGAACAGTTATTGAGATGAAAATGTTCTCATACGGCAATAGGGTGATTTTAATTTTTAAACAAGCCATTTAGTGATATGATGTGAGTGAAAGTGAAACTCACACAGTTGGGTGCAACTCTTTGCAACTCCATGGACAATACAGTTCATGGGATTCTCCAGACCATAATACTAGAGTGGGTAGCCATTCCATTCTCTAGGGGATCTTCCCAACTCAGGAGTCGAACCCATTGCTTCCGCATTGCAGGCTGATTCTTTACCAGCTTAGCCATGATATAGTGTGAATTGTGCATCAAAAAAATCCAAGGGCAGAGGAAGGGGATGAAACTATATAGGCTCTTTCAATGTATACGCAACAAAATTGCATTGACAATTGTCAAAACCAAATGATACATCTATTTGACAGGACCTTATATTACCTGTTTTGTATGTGTGAAACTCTCTATGAGTCTTAAAATCTTAAGAAAGAGTATTTGAAAACTCTCTGAAGAAATGACCTCAGAGAAAAGGTCAGATTTTCAAGAAGAAGAAATTCAGCTCCATAAAAATACTCACTATATCTCAGTGTGGAACAGTGAATGCTTTTTCATGAACCAACTACTATTCCTGAAACACTGCTCAGGAGAAAGTTTGCTGACTGGGAAGATCCTCTAGCCTATGGTCTTAAAATCAAGGTTAGTCTTAACACTTCACTCTACACAAATACAAGATATTCAGTTGAAGAGTTATTAGAAAACAACATCACAGGGAAATTTTCTATCCCTACTAAAGGAAAAGAAAGTTAATATCAGACAGAAAACTCTTATCTCTGGGAACCCACAGGAAGTGATCAAAGAAGTAGGAAGATAAGCTCACCTGGATTTACCCTCAACTCTAGGGTGGTTTTTATGTCATTGAACCACCCTCTCTTCTCAATTCGGCAACAATACAAGCCACTGTCAGACAGGGCGGCATTGTTTATGGTCAAAGACACATCCCTTCCACCAATATGTCCATTTAGCTGGTAACGTCCATCCCTCCGATAGGTGACTCTGTAGCCATCAGTCCAGATGATGTTAGTTCCGCAATTAAGCCAAGGACATGCCCCTCGGCCCCAGCACATGCTTGTGACTTCACCATTATAGTGGCAGGGTAGCCTGACAGACTGACCCGCCACTCCAATCACTCGGTGGTAAGAGGTTACAGCATCTGCAAACAAAGAGACACCAGAGCATGCATCTCAAAATTTTAACTTTAGTTTTATTTTCAGTTTGTTCTTTATACAGCTTATGTGGTTTGAAATTATCTAACCATATCTTGAGTTTTTGAATTTAATATATGCATTTTTCTTGTAAACATATTCTTTAGCAGTGTTATTATTAACGAGATATATCTGAGGATGAAACATCATGTAAACATTTTTATGTATTCAGGATTATTTACTAATAGGACAGATTTATGAGAGAAAGTATCAGGATTTTAAAGGGCAGAAATATGTTCAGTCTTTTGGTGAATATGATTCCAATTCCTCTCCAAAAGGTTTGAAACAAACAACATTCCAGTAATGCATCAGTGTGTGTGCATTTCATCCTGTGTTTGACAGGTATCTGCTTACTAAATGTTAATACATACAGGTGGTGTTTCCTCTCCCTTGATTCAATCACTGTCTCAGTTGAAATCTGATTTAAAAACTGTATTGCATTTAAAATTTTGATTTTCAATTTTATTGAAATTTTTTAAATGGCTATGCAAAAAATTTCACCTAACAAATCTTCTCTAAGTTAAAGAAAAAATAGTGAATATTCTACTCACAGCATTATTGGCTAGAAGGCAGAAGCCAAGTAAATTCTTTAGAAATCAGTTTTTAGAAAAAGGGTTTATAATACTCTCAGAAGCAACGGAGGCTTATAATGGGCTTTGTTGGTTTTGTTTAGTTCCTAAGTTGTATTGGACTCTTTGCCACCCCATAGACTGTAGCCCGCCAGACTGCTCTGTTCATGGAATTTCCCAGGCAAGAATACTGGATTGGGTTGCCATTTCCTTCTCCAGGGGATCTTCCCGACTCGTGGATCAAGCCCATGTCTCCTGCATTGGTAGGTGGATTCTTTACCACTGAACCACCTGGTAAGCCCAGCATGGGATTTAGGATCAATTAAAAAACATTCAAGCAGGGACCCCTTCTTGAGAGTTGATAACTGTCCTGCAATGGAGCACTGTCCAGTTAGCCAGGGGAAATAAAAAAATTGGACAATATTCATTCAAACAGTAAACTTTACCTCTTAAACACAAACAGGCAGGAAAACTCTCTCCTGCAGCAGTGGTTTAAAAAACTGTATTGCCAAATGAAGTCTGAGTGGTCCTTATAAGAAATCTGAGATTCAACAACCAGTCATAGTTAGAACTGGGCTGTAAAGCCTGGGAACTGCTCTGGGAATAAAACACTCATTGTTATATAAAATAAGTCTACTTTTTATTATCGGAATTCTGATTATGTTTAATTTTGCTTAATATAATTTTTAATTATAAAGGTAATTTATACTGATTAGTGTAATTTGTTACAGAATATAATTTTAAAATGTACTTTTCCTCATATTCCTACCTCTAGAGATTTTTTTTAAATTTAGGATATGTTTACTCCTAAAAATTTCCCCTATCTCATAGAATGTTAAAATATGAGATAAGTTAAACAACTTTGTTTATTAAATATTACATTTTTTTGTTTGATGATTAAAAAAATATATTTGGCCACACGGCACCGCATGTGGGATCTTAGTTCCCCCACCAGGGATAGAACTCGTGCTTCCTGCATTGGAAACACAAAGTTTTAACCACTGGAAATCCAGGGAAGTTCAAATATTTTCTTTTTAAAAGAAACAGTTACACATGGTTAAAAAAATCAAAAAGTACAAAACGGTACAATAAAGGACTCGTCTCCTTCCCACCCATCCCCATTTCTTCTTTCCACCCTCGTCCACAGTTATGCTTTCTAACATACACTTGAGTAGTTCATGCGTACACAACCATCTACCTACTCTTTTTATTTAAACACAAATGGCAACATAAGCTGTACTGTACTGCAGCATGCCTTATTCACTTACCCATAGATTTTTAAATTCTTAGCATTTAAGCAATTTCTTTGGCTTAAGTTTTCAGCTTGGTTCTTTGCTCACTAGTGGATCCCATTACCTTTGACAAAGCCCTAGGTGTTAAAGTCTACCTTCCTCCACCACACCCACACACCCCCTACTCCTCCCCCTACATCCTTGGGGTTCCAGAGCACAATCCACTTATTCACTTACCTGGCAGGAGTAGGAGGCCCAGGATGGCTACCCAAGGACGCATGATGCTATTGGCCTGAAGGAAAGAGAAAGCAGACTGCTTGGTGTGGCCCTCAATCAGATGGGATCAGAACAAGTCTTCATTCTCAGATGGCAGCTTCTCCTTTCACCCTTACAGGGTGAATCCCATAAGCCTGCCTGCTGGAAGCAAGACCACACTTGCAAATGCTTCCGCTCTCTGTCTGCTCCAGGTGACTGAGAGCTCTGCCCCTTCCAACAGACAGGCACAGCTGTCCTCGGAAACATCCCGACTTACACAGCTCCTTTCCTGCACTTGGAGCCCACGCTGACTCTAGGTGCTGACAGAGGAGACAAGGGAGCAAACGCAAAGGAAAGGAGAGGAAGGCTCAGCAGGGACACCAGAGCGAACCCAGACTTCCCATGGCAAAGCTGCACTTATCCTTAGCCTTGAAGATGAGTCACCTGGCTTTCTGGCGAGAGGAGGGTACTTCTTCCTTTGTGGTCACAATGGCTAGTCCCCAGCCTTAGTCAAATGACCAAACGTCCACTGAGCTAAGAACTCAGAGTTGTGAGTTTCACTTAGGGCTCAGGAGACTGCCTCTCAGATCGCTCTAAGGAGCCACGCCCAAGAAGGGTGGAGAGATCAGCTTATACATGATTTTGGAGAACAATCAAACATCTCAGTAGAAGGTTGCCACTAGGTACAAGAAACAAATACCTCAATTAATGCCTTTAGCATTTTTCTAAGTAACAGGAAGATGAAACTTGGATTCATAAAAGTTTCTCCTGCAAACATCTATCTGAAGGCCTGTTTTACCAGTTTTCCCAGAGCACAGAGGACTTCATTTTGGATCATTGCACTGAATTCCTTTCAGGGTATATGGAGTATCAGTGACTACAGGGGCTAGTGCCTTAATTCTTACAGAACCAGATGGCTAGGGACACTTCTTAGCTGGCAGTGCCCCCTCATGGTCATAAATTCAACCATGATTTAGGAGGCAGTTCATAGCCACTCTATCCCATAGTGCAGAGAATACCTTTTCTCAGTCAGGCCAGTATTCTGATGATCTTCAGTGTGGTATTACTGGACTAGGCACTGATAAGAGTAGACAAAAGACTTTGGACCACATGTCTTTCAAATCTGTTTCAGTCCAAGCAGATTCCCGTGTTGCTTCTTCCCATATGTAGAGCTACACTATTATAACCTTGAGTTCATAAATAAATGTATACATGTATAGCTCTTAAATAAATATATATATCCAAGTTGCCTAGTCATCATTTTATCAGAGGCTTAGTCACACATTTAGTAATGCAAGAAATCACAATCTTGTAAAATAGGCCAAATGCAAGTAACATAGCTAGTAGCAGCAATAGGGTCATAAGTAAATATTCAGGCCAAGAGTTTCAATTAGGTGTGATCCAGTATATTACCAGCTCATCTGACTCAATCTGTCCTGTACAAATCACTATCTTAAAGGTAATGAAATACTTGTATTGTTCACAAGGCATCCAGCCTAATTCCCTAGTGTTATTAGGCTGATTATCCTTAGTTTAACTGTTCCCAATGTAAGGGAGCTTTTAAACTTAAATGATTTAAATAATCTGGTGGGAGTCATATAAATCCACCCTGTAACTGAAGGAGGGTCCCTCCTAACAATCAGGAAGTTATATTTGCTGACTGAAATTTAGTTTGTTATTATTCAGCTTGAGTAACTTTAAAAGAAAATTCATATTTTAGCCATGGTCAGAGAAAGCACCATTGATTGGCCAAGTGAGGGAGTCCTATCTAGGAATATCAATAGTTGCCCAAACAGAACTATAGCTTTCTTCTGGAATAAACTTCCTAAGGGGCATCCAATTAGACCTGTGGAGAGGAGAAATCCACCAAGGTAACCCAGAAGTACTAGATTAGGTAACTGATCATAAGCCTAACAATTGGATTAATTTTTAAACTCTGTAAGACTTACACCATGATAAAAAAAAAAAAAACATACATTTATGAAAAGGTACAAGAAATTATCAAAAATAATTATAATATATAATTATACCCATATTTCTATAATTATATAATATGACATTATTATCTAATGTAACTATTATGCTGAAAACACTGTAACTAATCATACAGGTCAGATTGGGAATCTAGGGATAGCTGTCCACTTCTGATGTTGTCTTCTCTTTGTCGTGGTGTGAGGGTAGTTTCTCCTCTGTTTCAACTTTGTTTTAAGGTGAGTCTAAGGCCTCCAGGGCAAGAACTCTTTAAGTGGAAAATACTTTTGGATTTGTATTTCGCTTGCTCTGTGCACGAGTTCAATTTCTTTCATTTGTTCTGTGCACGAGTTAGTCAAGAATATCTGACAAGTGTCCTTTGATTGAGGTTGGAAACAGTCCTTTAAATGATGCCTTTCCAAAATACATAATTTTCTTGTTACAGCTCATGGGGCATCTGATATTCATCCAAAGATAGATTCCAGTGATAAGTTTCAGAAACAAATGACGAGTGTCCTTTTAATAATTCAATTAAATTTTATAATAATGTAATCTAACAACAGGGGTATCTTGGAAGTGAGTCTTGAGCAGTAAATACAGACCTAAATTAACAATACTAGAATTTAATATCCATATATGTAATTTTTCTCTCTAAAATTATGCTGACATCTATCAAATATAGGCAAATTAAGAGTAATTTGTTTGCAAAAATAAGTCTGCTTTCAGTAAACTTGGCCTGATTACTTATATAAGTGTAGTTGATCATACAATCCTTTTTAAAATTGGTTTAGGTGGAACTTTTTATAAAGAATCTCAGATTGAATTTTTTAAAAGCTTCTTTCTCAAGGCAAGAAAAGTCATCCCAAAGGCATGCCATCAGATCCTACCTGTGATACCTATAAATCTGGATTAATTTCTCTCTTCTCAGTGTTCCAGAGTGTCTTCAGATTCCTACAACTCTCAGGAGGTGGGCTTTCTTACTTACTTGATAAGTCTGCTAGCAACCTAAGGGTTTACAATTTTGGAGGGATCAGGTAGAAATAAAAGATAAATGTTTCAATTTTGCTTACAAAGGTATCACTAACCAAACTGCTGTAAATCATAATTAGTTTAAGGGGAAAGGTTTCCTTATAACTGGAAAACAGAATAAAAAGCAGTAATATTTCAGACCAGAAAAACCATAACATCTATAACCATGTTCTTCAGTTCACTCAGTCCTACATAACTAATTCTTGATTTTTGTTAACAGTTTTATAAAGCTTTTAAAAGCTTGCTCTTGTCAAAAATCCCTTCTGTGAATTTTCTTGAAAATGAAGCAAAATGAAATGAAACAAAAATCAATGAAAATGATGCAAAGGCATGAGAATCAAACAATAACTGTCTGTGAAAAACAAAGATTTTTAAAGACATGGTTAAAGATCTGATTGTGATGCAATTGACAAACTATTTTACTCCTGTGACAGAACATTTTAAGATAATAATCAGAATTAAGACTAATAACATTTTACTATGACATACCAAATTCTTAGGAATTCCAATAATTTCTAGAGTATATAAAACATTTCCCTTGACAATATAGCCTAAGGATGTTTATCACCATCCATTTGAAATGTTTCCCATGCAATTTAACATACCATATAAGCCTAGTTAGTTTAATATTTTAATCTTTAATAAAGAGAGAAAACAATTCCCTTAGCTATTTCAGGACCTTCTGGAAAATCTCAAAGTAAGCTAAAGGTCAAATGAACTTCAAGTAGAATTTGATCTCTGGCAAGTTTGCCAAAAATATCAAAAGGCTTTAATGAAGCACTTCATCAGATGGCAACAGAGATCACTGTGAAACAATACTTATTCACTTAACCAAGAAAAAAATAAAATATTTCAAAGGCAAATACAGAAAGTTATAAAAAAAATTACTTAAAATACAAAGAAAATTAACAATCTGTTACAAAAAGTAGATCAATATTCTTAAGAAAACTCTCCCCTCTTAATAGAGAAAACAAATTCAGGTTTTGTACCACTTTACCTTTAACACTGAAATTCATTTGCCCAATTAAATTAATTCTAACCTTAGTTCTGCCCAAACATAAAATCCTTTCTAAAGTTTCTTTTTTCCTCAAACCGACACTTTTCTATACTTATAATAATCTGTCTCACCTTGCTTATTTAGAAATAACTAGCATTTGAACAAAATTATTTTCTTTTTTCTTAATAAAATGCATTTTTATTTCATATATCTTCTTACTTGCATACAAAGATGCTTTCCATATTAACTTTATAGTCTAATTAGTAAGAATTATCAAACTTTTTAAAATATTTATTTATTTGACTGTATTGGGTCTTCATTGGGGCATGCAGGATCTTTAGTTGCAGCATGCACGCTCTTAGTTGTGCCACATGGGGTCTAGTTCCCCGACCAGGGATCAAACCCAGGCCCCTGCATTGAAAGCAGAGTCTTAAACACTGAACCGCCAGAGAAGTCCTGAATTATCAACTTTCAAAAACCTTAATTTCTAGTCAAAACTGATAAGCAAGAAATTACATACTGTCTTTTACTTTAGCATCCCATAGATTGGCAAACCTGAAATACTATATATAAAAACTTCAAAATGATGTCTACATTCAGTAATTAATGCTTCAGCTACCTTGTTTTATTTGGAAGGGGACTTGATATTTAATAAACTTTCATCATTCAACTTAATGTGGGAAAATGCTAAAGCTTCAAGTTGCCAAATATTTAGAGAGACTAGTTATAAGTAGACATTGTTAAAACATGATTATATCTAAAGAGTTTACCTAAAACCTCTTATCTCATTTATAGTTAACAGACTTATATTTTATAAAAAATTTCATCATACCAAGTTATTTTTCTTGCTGACAAGGAGATCTTATTGTAGTAAATCTAGGTATAATAAAAGTGTTACATTTAATGTTGATGGCTCTAAAAACATGTCTATATTAATTGAACTGACACATTTTTACTTTTACTTCAAATATTAATGTAATACTGAATATTTAATAGTTCATGTGAACCTAAAATTCATTCAGGTTAATTTCTTTTATATTTCTGAGAATCTATGTAAGTATTTAATTTTCTTTAAGTCAAGTAAAGAGAGGTCATTAACAAGTTAATTTTGATAATGCTCTCCAGAGGTAGACACATCATATCTATAAGGCTCACACAGAGATACAGACAGATACAACTGGAGATTTCATAGCTTCATTTTTAAAACTTAGTCATGAATCAGGTATTACAATACTCTAGTATTTTAACTAACAGTTGGAATGAGTTGTTTACTTGCTTGAATTTTAAAAAGGTATCTACTTTTTTTTCTTAGGCTCAGAAATTAGAGATGGTGAAGATACTAGTTCCTGAGAGCCCTGGTAAAGTCTTTACATCTCAAGGCACCAGAAGAGAAATGCAAACTTCTCCTAGGAGAATCAAGTCCAACTTCCCACCTAATCAGCCAATCCAGATTTCTCCAGTCTCTTTCAAACAATCTCCCAGTGTCTTCCAACTTTGGGGAGCTGGGGGAGAGGGGAGCAGCTATCAATTATACACTGCCAAATAAAACTCAGGATCATCAGTCAATAAGCAGGAGACATGAGAACCAAGAAAGGTCTACTCAAATTCATCTGGACTCGTCGAGGATGAAGACAGACACAAGAGACCCTGCTGGTCTTGGAAGTACCGAGGGCTCTTGATCCTCATAAAGTTCAAGCAAAGGAAAGTCTGGCCTGTGTCTCTTCATGGTCCCCAAAACGGTCAACTGAAATAATAATGCACAGTGTACCTGTGAGTTTCTGTTTTATTTGGAGACTTACTGAGTACAAGGAGATGGCCTCTCAGAGAGCTCTGAAGAACTGCTCTAAAGAGGTGGGGCGGAGGGAGGGGATGTCGGCATGTCTGTGATATTGAAGCTGTGCCATCAAGGGCACACAGTAGAAGGTTGCTAGTCACAAGGAACAGACATCTCAGTTAACTGGTTTTAGTGCTTTTCTAAGGATGGAAAGATGAAAGAAATTTGGATTCATAAAATTTCCTCTCAAAAATATCATCTGAAGGCCTATTCTGCCAGTTTTCCCAGAGCACAGAACACCTCATACCTGATCTCTGCCCTGAACTCCTTTCAGGGTGTGTTGAAAGTCAGCTATTGTCGTGGCTACAGATTCAATCCTCGTAGAGCCAAGTGGGGAGCAACATTCTTTAGAAGCCACAAGAATTAAGCAAAAATGCAAATAATTATGCCTACCCATTCATTCTACAGGATGTCTCAGGCCACATCTTACAGAGTGATATCAGGAGAATGTTTCAGGAAGCAGAGTCTGGACTAGACAGGTTCAGATCACAGCTCTGTCACTAGATTTCCTCATTTGGGGAATCGCACTGAAAATACTTGCTCTATCTCTATTTTATAAAAGTTCATAAGAATCTTTATTATGAGAAACAAGGCTGTGGGAGCCCTGGCTGGGGGTGCTTCAGTCTGAAGAAGGCCTTGGTTGGAGGAGGCCCAAGTTTTAGAGCTTCCTTGACCTACTTGAACACAAGCTCCCTCCTTCTTGCCCACAGGACTCCAACAAATGGAGTTCCTTCAAATGTATCCCTACTTTAGGACCTTTTCCCGACTGGTGCTTCTCCCTAGATCCCTATTCTTTCACCCCATCATTTTCAAATTGCTTCTATTCATTATGATCCCTGCTTAAATCTCACCATCTCAGACACTCCCTTGGTCCTTCTATCTAAAGTAGCCAACCAGTCACTGCCTTTTATTCGGTTCTCTGCATTTATTTACCTGGTTTCCTATGCTGTATTTGTGTGTGTGTGAGAGAGACAGAAAGAGAGAAATCTATCTCTCCTCCCTCTTGTACAGTAATATCCAATAGAACTTTCTATGATGCTGAAGCTCTATGGGTGTTGTGCAAGCACTTGTAATGTGGCCACTACAACCAAAGAA